AGATGGGAGAGTAAGGTAGGGGAGCCGACAATTAAAAGTGAAGATTTGGTGGGATTTAAATGTAGTCCATTCAACGTCGACCATTCTACGATTTGTAAGAGGTCATCATTCAATAAGCGTGCAGCGGAGGGAGCTTCGGATGATTTAAAGGGAATGAAGAGCAGTACATCGTCAGCGTACATGTAAGGTCTGGAGGAGACAACCACAGAAGGCAAATCAGCTACAAATATATTGAATAACAAAGGACCGAGAGTAGAGCCTTCTGTTTTTCTTAAATAAATAATTTTTTACTTTGTATTTGTATTTCTTTGCACTTATGTTTCTTTGTACTTATCTTTGTACATATGTGATACTTATGTTTTTTAAATAAACCTTTAAAGATAAACGTCATAGTTTTTTAAATAAATCTTTTAAAATAAAATATCATAGAACTGTGTTAGATTAAAATTATAAAATCTAATCGGAATTTGTTGTTGCCGATGGAGTTGATAATTTCTTTGATGCCCTAATTTCGGCTAAAGCAACACGAACGGATGATAGTTTCAACCAGTCTTTTATAGAATTTTCGATTTTGTCTATTGATGCTTTTGGTTCAACGTTCCTTACAGCAGCTGTTAAAAAAATATACGGATTATCATATATAATTATTAAAAATTATATATAATTATTAAAAATGTAATTTCATATAAGTACAAAATTATAAATGCATATATATATATATATATATATATGTATACTAATTAAACATATTTGCTAAATGTTATGGATGCTAACTGGTTTCAAAGAAAAGAAAACAAACCTATGATTAAATCTTTTAATTTTGAAGTCTTAAAAGCTTTTTTAGGTGTTCTTCCTGCCCAATTGAAATTTTTTGCGTAATTATTTGTTATTACTCTTTCCAATGCTCTTCTCGTTATTTGTACAATCGTTGTATCACCTGATATAGCCAAGATATTCACCTTAGAAAGAATATAATAATAATTAACATAACGATTTTATAAAGAAATATAGATTTAAAAAGAAAGAAATAAATACACAAAGATATACAAGAGATTTATTAAAATGAATTACACTTATACCATGTAATCAAAATTTTGTTTAATATTTAAAAATTTTTCCAAATTTATGAAATTTTCATCAGTATCAACTGGCATTTCGGGAACATTCTCTACATGAGGTAATTTTGATAGTCGAAAATGAGCTGAAAGCTGTTTGATCATCGGCAGAAGCAAATTCATAGAATTTTCTAAGCTTACTTAGGGACCTAGGTCTGTATTTAGAATGCATTATTATTGATAAAAGCGCGCTTTTATCTCTGAAATTCTATTCTGATATTCTATAGTATGCGTAACGTAAACTATAACATGTTAGAGCGCTAACATCGTTGTAAGCGCGTTCTGAATACAGGCCCTATTGAGGTTAAGGGGCCTATTCTATAACTTTCAACGACTGCAACGATATCGTTAAATCATTGTTACGCAGTTATTTAGCGGTATACAAAATTTGCGCAATGATAATAATGTAACGATATCGTTGCAGTCGTTAAAAGTTACTGAATAACCCTCTCATTAATCCACATAAGCATAAATTAATTACTGGTAATAAATAATAATAATAATAATAATTAATAAAATAATAATATATTATTATATTATAATATATGTAATATATTATATTATTATTATTATTATATATTATTATTAAGAATTAATAATAATTAATTACTGATAATTCTGACAATCGTTAATTGTCTTTATCAAATAATTATCTGAATTGATTCACACGGTGTAATAAGTTTAGAAAGTTCAACAAAGTTCAGATCTAATGTACTTTCCGAATGCACTCAGATCAGCTGGTGGGGTCCCTGTCCCATTCGATTATATCGCCATCTCTCAGAAAATCAAGCAACTACTGTTGAACGTATTTCTTGGTTACCGTGTCGAGTCTTAGGGCGGAATCCATAGACGTTGCTTAAGATTCAAACTGGTCTTGAGCTAGTGCTTAAGATCACAATTGATTCATAGATATTGCTCAAGACCAAGTCTGAAGCTAAAACTTGGGACCATGCTTAACTAAGAAAATCTCATTCCATAGTGAAATCTTAAGTACGACTCAAGATTATTAGATGCATAGTCATTGCTTAAGCCCGATCTTGAGCTAGTCTTTGTCAAGTCCAGTAAATCATGGACTTAAGACGGTCTTGAAATAAAAAGTATAGTATTTAGTTTTTATTTGTATGTGTATTAATATTCTTCTATTTATTTTTTCATATTTTTAGAGAAAAGGAAACGGAAAAGCATATAGTTATGGTAGAATTACTACAAATATTTGTATATCTGTCATTGGGTGAACTAACCTAAAAATACCTCACATTCAAACAATAAGAAATTTTTAGTATAGTTCAATACTTTGTCCGAACATATTTCTTATTGAGACTCTGATTGAGAAACTGTGACTAGGCATTTGATTTATATATTTTTACACTTGATCATAAGTAGTTTCAAGTTAATTATATATAATGTGTATTATAAACATATACAATATACTTATATAACATAACTTTTAAATCTATAATATTTACAATTAAGATATTAATTATTTATTATACATTTTAGATAAGCGCACATTATAGAACAATATCTAAAATGTTTGGATCAACTTCGTCTACATTTTTTTCTGATCCTCCTCCAGTGAGAAATCTTGATTGCCTTTCGGTTGTTAATATATTCTTAGTTTGCTGTTTTAAATTAGATTAATACTTTTTTAACTGCTGTACATCCCTCTGTACTATAAAAACATTGCTTATTAAAAATATATATATATGTATAATCATATATAGTGTAAAAATAGGAAAATAAATTTAATACCTTAGTACAAATTAAAGAAGAATCATTGTATGTCTTCGTAATAGTGAACCAAGCCTCTGCTTTTTCTTTCAATGTAGAGGAATTTGTACCTTTTGATTCAATCACATGTTTATAGTCTTTTAGAATATCAAAGAATACTTGCTTTTCCAAATCCGATATAATTCCGCGCGTTACGTATTATACTTGTAAATAAATTGTCATTGGACAGATTCTAGAGAATCCCGAATGTTTCCGATGTTGGAGAACTCGAGTTTAAACTTAAGACTGCCTTAACAAAGCCTGACGAAGCCGAGTACTTAAGCATGAGCTTTGTTAAGGCAGTCTCAAGCTCAAACTCGAGTTTTCAAGATACATTTATGCATGTAAGGCATTCTTAAGCTAGTTTTGGACCCTAAGTCGATCTTGACGAAGACTATCTCAAGACAGATCTTAAGCAACGTCTATGGATTCCGCCCTTAGTTTTTTAAACGAATTTACCATTTTTGCATTTCAATGAAAATATCTTTTTTGGTGCTTTCAATCTCAGTTCTGTAAATTCAGTGTTGTTTATTCACGTAATACGCCGGGTGATGAGACCTCATTTAGTCCATACAAGTAGTAAAACTTGTTTATCAAGGAAATATCAAAGGTTCGTCAGGTGACACATCTACGAGTTGAAAAAAATGTAAGTTTTTTATTTTTTTTCGATTGTAGCATATAATTCATCACATCACTAACTAATTTTGTGTCTATATTAATCCTGTAAAAGGATTTCTCATTCCGTTCAGTCGTTTCGGAGATTTTCTTAAGACTGTAATGTATCCACAATTTCGTGGGTTCAGCATCCCCTTAACAGAAGTTTTATTTATATTTTTTTTGATAGATATCTAATTATAAAATTATTATACATATATAAAACTAATTCGATCACAAAAATTACTTCTATGTATTTTGATGTTATTCATAATATTTCCATATTCAGCCATAACTTTTACGATCATTCGATTAGTTAATTATTAAATAAATAATATATCAATTTGGCTTTATTATAAATTTTAGTAAATACTTTTATATTAAATATATTTTATATTAAGTATACATTGAGAAAAATAATCTGATTGGATTAAATAATAATTCTGGTGAAAAATAGACAAATAAGAATTTTTTGGATAAATCTATTACAATTCTAATAAAAATAACTAAAATTCTGATTGAATATAGGCCGCTATTTTATTTGTGCGTTTTTATCGTACAGCGATTTTTTCAAGCTTTATTGACTGGCTATAAGATAGAGAGATCTGAGAACCTCTCTGTCCTACACACATTTGTCACATCACAAAAACGCACAAATAAAATAGCATCAACAAGTCTAATATTTCATGTATCGGTCAATAAACATTTTAAGCACAACCTTTGGCTGCAAGACAGAGAGATCCGAAAACCTCTCTGTTCTGCAGTCACTCAACAAGCTTGAAAAACTTCGTTGTATGATATACATAAAGTATCGGAGTAATCACTATGTCTTTTGCTACAGAAAGCACCAATAATTATTCTCATAAAAATAAAAATTCTAATAGATTTTATCAGAAATATTGTATCAACGAGAGTTCCAGTTACGTATTTCAACAAAAGAATTACAAAAAAGGATATTCAAAAATTTAAATCTTTTTATCTAATAATGATATATTACCATGAAAAGTAACTGATATATTATAAATTAAAGGTGCCAGTACAAAGTGAACATACCATACATAAAGTATATGCAACTTTCAGCCGATTTTCGAATCGTCTCCGCCTTCCGCTATTCCTCTCATCTCACCTTACCGCGCGCATGAGGTGAGGGGACAGCGGAAGGCAGAGACGATTCGAAATATTAGTTGCTTTCCATTTACACACAAGTGAAACTGAGTCTGAAGCTGATGTGAGTCTGTGAGCTGAGTACAAAATACTCACAATGTCATATTAATGACGTCACTATTTGCTTACTTTAGTAAAATTAACAAATAACAACTCAGGTCTATAACCTCACTTTTAAAGTGAATCTACGAGACTCAATAAAGCACACGGTCTTGATCTTGTGCAGTTTGTAGGTAAAAACTCAGTTGAATCTCACTTCTCAGAATGCAAAAGGAACGCGCATTCAACTGAGTTATGATGTCACAAGTGAGAATTATCTGAGAATCGGAGTAAATGGAAAGTAACTATTATTATGATCTGCGCGCGGTGAGGTGAGGGGGACAGCGGAAGGCTGAAGCGATTCGAAAATCAGTCGAAAGTTGCATACACTTTATGTATGATATGTTCACTTTATACTGGCACCTTTAATTAATAATATATCAGTTACTTTTCAAAGTAATATATTATTATTAGATAAAAAGGTTTAAATTTTTGAGTATCCTTTTTTGAACATGGCTTGAACTTTTCATTTTTATGATATGATTTTGTTCGGATATCATTAACTTTTTAGAGTAGAAATATATCACAAATATATGTATAAAAAAATAATTTAAGAATATAATAATATAATATTAATTAACGCATCGACTCTAGAATAACATATTTTTATTTATTCATTAATGCGATCGCATATTACAAAAAATTATAAAATATTACAATTTAACTGGTGATAGCCGCGCGCGTTCGCCGTTGCTAAGCGTTGTTTATAACAAGCGTTGTTTATAATAAGCGGCAATAGTCCTCGCTAGACATGAATCGCGTAGCGATAGCGAACGCGCGCGGCGCGCTTTGCAGGGCGGTCCTATCCAGCCGCGCGCTTGCATTTGACGGTAGGCTGGGCGAATTTAAATATCTTTATAAATTAATATCTCGTTAACTATTGTGACAATTGTAAAATGGTACAGGACTTTTCTTCTCAGTTTAGTCCATTCTACCCCCTGTACGGAATATGTTTCACTAATTATCAAACACCCTGTATATATGTTTATGTATTTAATATGTATTTAAATGATGACTGCTCGGTTTATCGGTAAGCCGGGTGAAGGGGGATGTGCGTCCGCCCTTCCACATCAAAACAATCCCCAAGGCTGCTTTCACTAACCATCTAATATTAACGCATCGATTTTAGAACAACATATTTAAATGCGAATAGAGAAGAAGGAGAAGAAGAAGAAGGAGACGTTTCTTAATTTTTCATTAAAATCACCACTCTTCACCGCTTGTATCTCGAAAACGGCTTGACCGATTCAAAATTTTTTTTGCTCAAATTACTCGTAGCGGTGCCACCTTTCAGGACATATAACGTTCGATTCAAAATTTTTTATGTTTTAATAGTTATGCACCCCCCCAAAAATGGACTTTGGTGGCTCGGGATAAGAAACTTGTAATGTCAGTTTTTGAACATGACCGAAGACACTACCGCGTCTCCTAACTTGTAGTGTCAGTTTTTGAACATAGCCAGAGACACTACCGCATCTCCTAATAATCAATTTAATCAAAAAATTCTGATTTGTTCATTTCCAATCAAAAATTTTTAATGTTTTACATTATATAAAATTTCATCAATTTCATTTTTAGAAAAATATATATATCATATTGTACAAATTTGGTTTAATTTTGAATTGATTAAAAATACTTTTGATGTATATCAATACTGATTTTATTTCTTCTAACATTTTTTCATATACTTTCATTTTTTTTAGTTACAGATGATAAGAAAAGCGGGTTATCCCGCGGAGACTCACGTAGTACAAACGGAGGATGACTATCTTTTAACACTTCATCGGATTCCAAATAATAATGGTTCACCCGTGCTATTGCAACATGCTCTTTTGTCTAGTTCCGCCGATTTTGTCGTTCTCGGCAAGAATAAAGGACTTGGTATGACATTCAACATTAAGAATTAATATTTCTCTTCCTGAAAGACTATAGGTTTCTATTCGGAAAAATCATCAAGCTCTAAAATATATTTTTTTAATATAACTCTTAATAATGTGTGTAATTCTTAGCACATTCTAATTATTTGTAATACTTGCATCTATATATATGTATGTACATACAAGAAATCTACTATTGATAAACAATGTTTTTCTTTATATTAGCTTTCATATTAGCCAATCACGGGTATGATGTTTGGTTAGGCAATTTTCGTGGAAATACTCATTCGAGAGCACATGTCTTTTTATCTCCGTCAGATTCAAAATTTTGGAATTTTAGGTATATATGTTCATAAAATGAAGATAATTCAACACACAGTATGTTGAATGTAATATTATTGTAATAATATATTATTTAACTTATGACAAAAAATCAATTAATTAATTGTACAATATCGTGTAATAGAGTATAATATTTTGTTATACTCTGTATTGATATATTAATCAAATTTTTCATTAGCTTTCACGAAATGGGTATTTACGATATACCCGCGATGATCTTATATATTACAAAAATAACATCGCAACCATTGCACGCATATATCGGCCATTCACTAGGCACGACTGCTTCTTACGTAATGGCAGCGGAACGTCCAGAAATCGCTCGAATGGTGCGAATGATAATCAGCTTTGCACCTGCGGCTTTTCTGAAACACGTAACAAGTCCATTAACATTGGTCTCCTCTTTCATAGCAAATAATCAGGTAAAGTTATACTTTTTATAATACTCTTAAAAAAGAATTTATTATTGCAAAATGAAGATTTAAAAGGACATCCAATATATGTAAGAAGCTTTTATTATTCCTATCTTTTTTACATTTTAGTTTACACATGATATTTTTATCAAATATTATTTTATAATCTATTTTTAGAGATTTTGAAATTTATTTTTTTTTACAAAATTATTATAGTATTTTGTATGGCAAATATTTACGCATATAAATACTTCAAAATATAAAACGACATGGAAGTTGCGAACTCCTTTGCAGAGGAAGAGGTAAGAGTCGTTTCTCGCGGATGCAGTCATTTCCGCCCCCCCTCCTGCGGGAGTGCTCCACTATGGTTAAAAATAACCTAACCTAACCCATTTAGTGGTGTGAAATAGCTCTCGTTTCGTGTAGAAAGTTGAAACCCATGTGAAACGGTACAATCATAGAAGTACGCTCCTTGGAGGGCCGGGAGATTGGAGTTAGTGTAGACAGTGAAAATATATGTGTAGAATAGTATATGGTACTGTGACCGGACACGAGGCTCCGGTCGATCCAAACGGTCGGAATTCACGGTCTATCAACGGTCGCCATATTCTTTCACCTTCCAAGAACGAAGGTAATCGCGATCCGACGAATGGATCACCCGTCGCGCGCCTCCACGATGCGCTGCTTGTGTGTCTGCCACTCGTCAGTGATGTGGGTCGGCGTATATGCAGTCTCGTCTCGACCAGCCTTATCATACTCGCGCCGCTCGTCTCGGTCCTACGAAAAGTTATCTCCTAGGATGGATAGGATTCGATAGGAAATTATCTCCTAGATTCGATAGGAAATTATCGGGAAAAAGAGAGTATGTGTATCGTGCGGGTTTCGCTATTCGATATCACCTGATATCAATTGAAGACTATCGGTGTATGTTCAACGAAACAACTCTATTGCAACGATACAAATTCACGTACAGTAACACGCTCGTTATACAACAATCAAAGGTTACAACGGTAAATGATAAAATGAATCGAGAGAAAAGGTACTACTCCACGGACAATCCGTCCGTAACACACCTTGCTCGCACTATCTCACAAAGTACAAGATACAAGTATACACGTCTACCTGCGGAATCATCCGCTTACAATGCTACTCACGATTACAATACACGTTTCACGCAAAATAATCTACAGACTAGTCTTTCTACTAGACATGGAACTTTAGCGCTCTCCTCTACTATGCTATGCTATCGACCTTACGGTATCATACGAACTATCGGCGATTCTGCTTTCACTCGCAATCTCACTCGAACCTCAAGGCTTCCAACGATCTGTGCTATCGGTACGTCTATCAGATAATACGACGCGTTCGCCGTCTGTACGCCACGTCGTTGGAGTACATCGCGGAATGTCGCCTCGCCCAACGTCTCCGGTACGCGCGTCTGTACGGTACGATTTGTACCACGCGTGTGTTAATCCAATCGCGCCGCGATCCCCTACTAGCAATCGGTTAGCGCGAACGATCGGACGCATCCTTCGCAATTGAACGTCTATCATCTCCTCGCTCTGTCGTCGTCACAATGACTTCTCACTATCCACGCGGATACTTCGTATCCAGATCAATATAATCCGCCGCTCGATTCAATACGCTTCGCGAACAAAAAACTCGTGTCGCCCACGAGAAAAAGTCTCGCGTCGTCTCAGCGCTCTCCAGCTCGATACAAGTAATCGGAAAAACGTCCATGATCGGTATTCTACGACAGTTACTACGTTCTCGTTGTTAGTGAAAATCTCTATGCCAAACAATCACTATATTTGCTCGATTCGACATTCGCAATGTCTACCACAACAGTAAACGTTTCAACGCTCTTCGTCGTTTCGCTATCTCGCTAGCTTCCCGATCATGCTATCGCGCTCGCTCTGCGCTCAATAACTTCTCGCGGTCTACATATAATGTTGGAATCTAACAACTCGAATCTCTCGGTGTAATCATTCACGGATAAATATCATCGCTACGGCTTTCCTCGCTCGAATTACATGCTTCGCGGATTAATCAGCACTACGATTCTCATATAAAGAATCTTTAGATCTTTCGCGGTAAATCGTCTCATAAAACTCTCTTGCCTTGCAATAATCTTCACGCGGAATACAATCTTCGCGGTTTACACTATCTCTCAAGCACGTCTTGCTACTCTCGGTATGTCGCCTCGCTGTTGCATTCATGCATCAATCACGAATCATTCCTCACGGAACTCAATCTCTCGCTCGCTCGCAATATCATACATACTTATCGCACGTCTGCGGGATTCTTTATGCGTATGCTACATCAGTCATCGCTCTCTCGCGGAATATCTCAATATTTCTTTATTAATACAATTATCTCTCTTCGGAGATTACAATGCTTTCGATAGAATCACGGTATTCGCTCGTCGTGTATTCTATCTTACTCGTGCCCTCGCACTCTCACTCACGCAGAATTATCTCGTCGCGCTCACTCACACAATTCTCCATCTCAATTCAACATATGCGGAATTATCACCTCGCACAACATAATTCTTTTCTCTCATTAAATGTCCTCGCGGAATTTACTTCGCGGAATATCTATCTATCTCTCAATAACTTCTTTCGGCAAAATTAGTGGAATACTCTCGTCGCTCAATTGGTACATCAAACTATCTATCGTCGCAGAATTACCCCTCGTGGAATACTCGTATACCTCAATAACCTTTTTCGGCAAATTAGCGGAATACTATCATCGCCCAATTCCCATATCAAACTATTTATCGTCGCGGAATTACCCCTCGCGGAATACATTTCTCAATAATTTCCATGTGCAACTTCGCGGAATATTCTCATCGCGTAATAAAATCTATCATCCTCAATAACATCTTACTCGCGGCATTATCTCATCGCGTAATAATCATGAACGTAATATAACCCAGATTACATCATCGCGAAATTCACCCGTCGCGGAAATATACCGGTACGTTCTAGAACCTTCTCACCTCTCTCTCGCGCTCTCACAGCTGCTCTCGGGTTCGCGCACAAAATGGCCGTCTTCGCGATCTCGCGCTCGCTCTGGCAATGTACGTTAAGCCCAAGACACAATGCGAGGGAATAGCGATAGCGATAAGTTTCAACCTATCAAAAATGTATGTTCCGATGTATTCGATTTCTGATAAGTTGAAATTTATCGCTATCGCTCTCTCTAAAATTTTTGGAGTGAAATTTTCACTCTAATTCTGGAGCCGCTGACCAGTCCACATAAAGCAAATATTCATTTTAATAGAGTGAATGTAAACAAAATCATCTAGCACTTGCACTGCACGCGGTGAGATGAGGTGGGAAGGGGTGGGCAAATGCAACTTTCGGCTGATTCGAATCGCCTTTGTCTAGCTTTCGCAGTCCCCCTCACCTCACCGCTCCGCGCGCAGAATAATTCCATTCGACTGTCATGGGGCATTTTAAATGCACGCGGAGCGGTGAGGGGGACAATGCAACTTTCGATTGATTTTCGATCGCCTCCGTCTAGCTTCCGCTGTTCCCCTCACCTCACCGTACCGCGCGTAATATATTACCACGAAGAGTAGTAGTAGTAATTAATTGCAGGTGGGCTTTATTAGCTTACTAACGCAACCTAGATCTATGGGGTTCCTTTGTCGCTCCCTGCTTATTCCGTAGGTCATTCAGTCAAGCCCAGTCTCGTGTCACTTACTAGACTTATTAGACTGCTAACCTTCGCATTTTCAAAATCTTTGAGTGTCATAAACATATGTCCCCAGGATTTGTGTCTTTTACAAGCGAGTGCAGGGCATCGGCACAATAAGTGCAGGTTGTCTTCGCCTTCTTCTCCACATAGCCGACATTCTTTCTGCTCCGTTAGTCCTAGGCAGGTATCCTGTCAGTAGGCCTATGCCACTTCTCAGTTTAGCCTTTCCCATAGCCAGCGACTCTCTGGTTCTTGCTGGATTTGGAGATCTCATGAGTTGTTTGGCTCGTTTACAGCCCTCTGCCCCCTTCCAGGAGTTCGAGTGCTCCCGTTCAAGCCACTCTTTGATTGTTTTTGTTCCTGCTGAAAATGGGACTCCTACGATCCTTTCAGCCGGGACCTTTTCGGTACCCTGCTTTACCAGCTCGTCCGCTCCCTCCAGGTATCCCCTGATGTTCAGAGACCCATACTAGGGTTACTTGGTTAGTTATCCCTAGGTTGAGAGTGCTTGCATGCAGTCTCATACCACAGATGATTCTATGGAGGTTGTTGCAAGTGCTTCGATAACTGCTCCGCTATCAGTGCAAATATGTATTTGTTTTCTGCTTTTCCCCTTTAGCAGGAGTCCCGCACATTTCTGGATGGCCAGCACTTCAGCTTGAAGCACTGTGGCCAGCTCACCATTGGTATGCTTACCTTGTGGTTGATATTGGGCCCATAAATACCTGCCCCATATCGTCCGTTTGCTCCCGATCCATCCGTGAATTAAGTGTCATCTGGATTGGCTTTGTAATCATGCTTGCTCCAGTCCTCCCTAGTCGGTATTTGAACTTTGAAAGTCTTCACCAACTGATGTCTTCAGGGGATCCTGTCTTGTTTTAGATTGAAAGGGTGTTTGTCAGAAAGTCCCAGTCTTGTGGGACCGGTTCTGGTTTCCTTCCACTTACCCTGACATCTTAATCTGTATGCTGTTTACCTGGCTGTGTACTTGATCGCCTGGTTTAGGGGCGGAATACTGAGTGCTATTTGCAGCGCCTCAGTTGGTGTAGTTCTCATGGCCCCTGCTGCCCTCAGGTATCCTCCCTGTCGTGCAAAAACGCGTCGAATGAGCCTAGTTTCATTAAAATCGGTGAGGTCGGCCGTTTTTTCTCCATAAATACCGAAAAAAATCTTCGGGCAGTATTTCCGTTGTTGGTGTTTCCAGTTTCTTGATTTGGTTTGTCTATTAGCAAACCTAGTTTTTCTCTAAATTCTGTGCAAATCCTTTCTTTAGCTGTATTTTTCATTCGCTTTTGTTCTTCAGTCATTGCAGATCGTTTACAAAAATATAAGCGATAGCCAATATGCAAAATCACTCCATGAATCTTATCCACGCATGGAGAATATGCGCGATCGCGTCGACGTAAAATTATTAGCAAACTGGGTGGGGAAATACGGTGCAAAAGCAATGATCGCGAAACCGAATTTTCACAGACCTAGCATTTTTTCAGAAAATCTGGTCGCGATAGAACTGCGTAAACTCGAGGTGAAGTTCGACAAACCGATATACGTGGGTATGTGCATCCTCAATATATCCAAGACATGTTTGTACGAATTTCATC